GACCAAAAAAGGGCTTTTTCCTATAGTAGAGGGACCAAAAAGGGTATTTAACCTACAATTTTTAGAGCAAAAATTTATAAATATGGATTATGGAAGATACATTGGACTTTAACACATATGTAGTAAGTTGAATTTGTGTATATATGGGCTAATTGAATTGCACACCTTTCATGGCAGATTGGTAATTCAATCTCAAGTTGAGTAGGGTAAGGCTAATGTCTAGGGTCTTCATATTATTTGTTTCTACATATGTTACATTAAAACATCATCCAAAAGCGTTATCTAAAGCTACATGCAAATAATCAAACAATAGGTGAAAAAAAAGACAGAAGGGTACTATTAATGTACCAAAGCAAAAGAACGTGAGAGATGGAATAAAGGGATAAGAAAGCGGAAGTAAGAAGAATGTAAGAGAAAGGGTAAAAAGGACATAATTTGAGGATTGATAGGACCTTATGTATGATTATGTTTTTGGGGAGATAATGAAAGATGATACTCAACAACCCAACCCTATTCAACTAGCTAGAGTCTTGATGTTCATTGCCCACTATACTTTAATTTCTAGCCTTTTCAGTCATTGAATTAGGCATCTTAGGTACATAAAAGAGCATCTTAGGCTTCCAAACCAAACCCTACCAGGTTTGAGAGCTTCTCTAATTTCCCTGGTTTAATTTGAGAATCGTTTCTCCAAACCCTCCCTTGGTGGTGCTCAGCTTGCAAAGGAGGGTTGAATCTATGCTAGCTGCTAATCACACAGAATCAGATACCTTTTACCAATCTGTTAAAAGTGGTTTTGGCATTACCTAGATTGTGGAGCATAATGCAAGTGTGGTTCCCACTTCCCACACTTGCCTGTTAGTGTTAGAAATTAGAACTTGACTTACTAGTCTTACAATTTGTATTTTTCAACCTGTCAAATGTTCACCAAATCCCAGGACATCAAAGATTTTACAGGTAGCCGGCGCTAGTGGTCCTTTTCAGTTCAGGGCATGTTGAATATTTCACAAGTTTTATCTTCATATCAATGTTAAAAACGAGATGCAAAATTGTGACTTTTTAAATAGTTATTTTTCTATTAAACTTAATTATGAATTTGATAATATTTATAGAATTTTTTTATGATCATTATTTTATTAAAAATTCATAAGAAAAAAAGACAAAATCAACATGTCTAATTACATTCATTAAATATATAAAATATAATGTGAATCTAATTTTACTAAATTTATTACGTAATTGTTATTAAATATGTTAATATTTTTAATGTTAAAATGTCTAAATTTTCTCTTTTTCCAATTCATAGTTTAGTACTTCTTCCAAACTTTTACTCAAAACAAAACTTTTAAATAACTTTATGGATAAGCTAATCAAGCTCGAAATAATCATGGATGAATAACCTTAATTTACCTCAAAATCACCAATTCAAAAACTTTGGCAATGGAAGGATCATCTAAATAATCTCTCAAAAGATTTAGTCATGGAAAGTGATTGAGATGTGTAATTATGCATTAAAATGGACATGACAAAGGGCTGTTTTAGTTTGAGGGAAGAGAAAGTTAATTATTTCAATCAATCAAATTATTTCCTTTAACAAACAGTTTAATTCCCTCCACTTCCTTTCAAACCAAATTACATTACAATAGGCCATTGATCCTACACTAATTTAGCAAAACCTCAACTCACTAATGGATGAGGGTGAGAGATATTGCCCTTTCCAAAATGGGTTTTGAACTGACAAGAAAAGATGGTTTTGGAATCTAAGTACGAAGGTTTACTAGTTGTAGTTGAATCGTGTCCAGCTTTTCTTGGATTTACATTCTTGGATTAGTTCGACTGATAAAATTTTCAAACAAAATCAAATGCAACAAAATCCCTTCATCAGTCAATGCGTCATCTCTTACTTTCAATTCGTACATAATTAAAATTATCAGCTACTCCACCTTATATTCTTTCCATTTTTTTT